TACTTTGCAGTCCAGCACAATAACTGACACCACCATACAAGACTCTAATTTGTCCTCTTAATATCATGACAAATTTCTTTCCTAAGGTGTTCGCTAAAAAAAAAAAAAAAAAAAAATCCTATTAATGTTAAAAAAAATAAGGAGCAAAATGAGACTCAGTTCTCTTTAATAGGGATTTATTTTTCAGCCTTCAGCAAACTTACTTTTTCAGCTGATGTCCCAATCCAAATCTCTCTTTTGTGGAAATCTGAAAGACATCGACAGTGGGCACTGCAAAGGAAAGAAAAAACTGAGTCAAAATGTTTGAGTTGAAGCTGGACCACCAGTTGGTAAAATGAAGTAACGTTTGTGTGTGATAATGAACATGTGTGTCTGTGGTGTGCACACTACAAACACTTAAAAATAGGAACTATATAGATATATATCTCTCTCTCTATATATATACACAGAGAGAGAAAGAGAGAGAGAGACAGAGAGAGAGAGAGAGAGAGAGAGAGAGAGAGAGAATGAGTTCAGGTGTGGCACTTCAGGATAATGCACTGGACTGAAAGATCAGTTTGATCTGCAAGGTCAGCGGTTCAAAGCCACTAGCTGATCCTTGGAAACTCTAGACAGGGCTGCTATGAGTCAGAACTCACTCGAATATACATATATATATGAAATAATTCTTCATTATGTATTGCCAAGGAATAATCTCCAAAATATAAAAAATGTAAGCAATAATGTTAGACGAGTATGTAAACTAATCTATAAGTGGAAGAGACACATAGGTTTGCGCAGACTTTTATTGTTGTTAAAAGTACTGTTGATTAGATTCTGACCAACCCTATATAGATGTTCGAGGATTGGATGGTGGGTTTGAACTACTGACCTTGTGGATCCCAGTCTGGTACTGATCCTGGAATAATTATGTGCCTAATCATAAAATAATTCTGATGTTTACAAAATTAGTAACAACTTCTCTCCAAAATGTCACTCCTTGTTCACTCACTGATTTCAAGAGAATTTATTGAGTGCTCCATGTGCCAAGAATGATTAAAAATTTTATTTTAAATGAAACCACTATCCAGTCAAATTCAAACTCATAGTGATTCTGTAGGAGTATATATAAAAACAATAATTTTAAATAAAAGAACAAATATCACTGCCCCTCTAGTTTGTCATCCAGTGAAAATATATAGAATGCCAGAATGTGACAAAGAATTGAGAAAAATAAAGAAGGGAACGGTATGGAAATGGCAGGTTATGTTCACAGACGTTTCAATGTTAGATCAGATGAATGGAAAAGCTCACTGAGGAAGTAAGTGGTATGCGAGCAAAGATCTGAAAGGTTTAAGGGGAGAGACATGTGAGTATCTGGAAGAAAAGTGGTCTAGTCAGAGGAAACAGGTACAATGCATCTTACATGGAAACAAGCTGAAATCTTTTAGAAACAGCATGATAGCTAACTAATTTGGACAAGTGAAGTACCACTAGGAGATGGAGAAGAAACATGGACCAGAATGTGTAGAATCTCTTGGTAAAAGGGCAAGGTTAAAAACGGAAAGATCATAGGAAAGTTTTTACAACTGAGGCAAAATATGTGGTGGCTTGGATCAATGGAGGTGGTGAATATTTTAGATGCATACTCTCGGAAACCCTGTACAGGGTCGCTATGGGTCGGACCCGACTCAACGGCACTTAACAACAACAACAACTCTCTGTTAGAGGTGACAGACTTTGCTAATGGATTGGATTTGATGTGCAAGAGAGAACAGTCAAGACTGAATTCAAGAATTTTGACATGAGAAACTAGAAAGATGCAGGTTAACCAATCCTAAAATGTAAAAGACTATGGGAAGAACAGGTTTAAGAAATGGAGAACATCAGCTATCTGACTTATGATATCTTAAATTTGAGTTGGATACAGAAGTCCAGAATTCTAGCGTTGTGTGAGAATAATATGTTAAAGATACAAACTCAGAATAACCAGCTTATATATTTAAAGAAAAACAAACAAATGAGTGAGTACAGACAGAGGACAGAAGTCTAATGATTAGGACTAAGTCTTCCAGCATTGAGAGGTTCAGCAAAGAAGGCAGAGGAGGAATTGCCAAGAAGATGAGTGTGGGTGATTGGGACACAAATTCATATAAATTTTTCAAGGACTAACCAATCTTATCAAATGCTGCTAAGTCAATTAAAATGAGGACTCAAAATTGATCATGGGTCATTTAGTAATATGGAAGTCATTGTTGATACTGCCCTTGAGTCAATACCAACTCATAGTGACCCTCTATAGGGTTTCAGAGGAGCAGATGGTGGTTTTGAACAGCGAACCGTATGGGTCTCAGTCCAGTATTTATCCTACAGTGCCACATCAGGAACACCATTGGTGAAATGATGGGTCCAAATTCTGTCTAAGTCTCCTTTCCTCAGAGCATCCAAACTATCACACAGTGCCTAAAGAGAAGAAAGACACCATCACCTCAATCCCTTAAGTCCCAAAACAGGGCTAGAGAAATTAAAAAAGTGAACCAGAAATTCTAACATCTTGAAAACTTAAAAGAGACACACTATATTTCTGAGAATGGTAAGTCAAAGAGAGACAGTATTAGAACACACCTGCTTGTCTCTAAGAAGATTCAAGAAGACAAAATCTTTTCACATGTGAACAAGACAAGATGGAGACAGAGAAACAAAAGGAACTTGGCTGAAAAACGTAGAAAAATCCAAAATGTACTAGGAGAATGAGAAAATATTTACTGGAAAGATGGATAGGCAGGCAGATGGCAGACTGAAAGACCAAAAAGTGAATGATACTTAAAAAAAATATATTGAAAAGCTAATAAACATTATCTCCAAACATATTTCAAAACTGAATTGATAAAACTCATATTACGTAGCATATTCCCAAGTATGAAACAAATGAAAAGCCAGAACTATGAAACTAGAACATTCTTAAGAAAAATAGCTAAGCATGGTAGAGCATCTCACTGGAAAACTACTACTTGATAGAATTCAATGTCTTTAGAAGTTAAACTAATTGCTTTTTCTAAATAGGAGCAATAAATATAATAAAGCATGTTGTTGCAAGTGCCATCGAGTCAGTTCCAACTCATAGCAACTGTGTATAGCATTTCCAAGGAGCAACTGGTGGGTTTGAACTGTTGACCTTATGGTTCGAAGTCCAGTGCTGACCCTACAGTGCCACACCAGGAGTTCTTAAAAAAACAGCTTTCTTAAAAAAAAAAAAAAAAAAAGACATTATATATGGTAGGAAGACATTAAAATTAATAGCATCAGTCTGGGTAAAAACAAAAATGTCCCCTATTACCAGTAATATTGAACATTTAATATAGTTCTAGAATTTAGACATAAGTATGAAGCATAAAACAAAATAAAATATAGGAAAAAATAGGATTCTTTCAAGGTAAGGGTTTAAGAGAAATTGAAAATGCTGTGACTGTATATGCAGGCAACACAAAGAAATCAAATTAAAATCAAAATAAATGATTGAAACAAATAAATAAGGTAATATGGGAAGGGTCCTGGATAAAAAGTTAAAAATAAAAAGTTGCTCATATAAAATTGAAGTACAAAGAGTGGCCCATAATACCAGATCATTAGTTCTACGCTCAACCAATCAAATTGTACACTTCGTTTCATCTCAATGACTGCAATCCCCTCCCCATGCAACAAGTAATCTCACTTCTTCCCTGTGCTTCCTATTTCCAGTCCATCTTCCTTCCCATCACTTTTCAACTTTGTCCTTAGGTAAATGTTGTCCATTTGATCTTCATCGATTGACCATTCCATGGTGAGTATACCTTACTAGTGTTGTTGGCTGAAAATTGGGTCATAAAGATAAATTACATTCCAGACCTTCTGGGTGATTGAGAGCCATATTCGCAGGACCCTCCAGTCACTTTTTGACCAGTAAGTCTGGTCTTTTTTCTTTTCTTTTGTTTAAAATAATTTTTGAGTTTTGGTCCACATTTTATCTCACTCTATCTGGGAACTTCTAATGTGGTCCCATTCAGAGCAGTCAATAGTGATAGCCAGGCACCATATAATACTTCCGGTCAAACAGTCATGGTGACTGGTGTTCACATGCTCCATTGGTCCACCGGTCTAGCTGATTACAAGCATCTTCAATTTTCACCACTCTTCTTTCTTCCGGATATGCAGAGACTTATAGTTGCACCTTAGATGGCCATCCTTGAGTATTTGAGATCCCAGATACTACTCACCCAAAGTAGGGTGAATGTATATAAAGTTTTACAAAATCATTTAGGAGGTTAAAGGATACCAGGTGAACATACAGAGTGTGACAACAAAAATCTAAATGTATTACAAATATGAAACAACCCTATTGAAAGGAACATGAAAACGAGGTGCTGAACATTGAAATAAGTGGAATCTGTAGGACAAAAGGTAAAATATATTGTACATAAGTACAACTCTAGCTGATAAAGTACCCGCAGAGGTACAGGGGGTTAACAATTCTAATACTGGTATACTGAAGTGTAACAATTAATGGGTAGTGGATGATGGGACCCAGATTCCTCACTGTTGAAATGGAGCTTAGAGATAAGCAAAAGGTTGTTATGATTAAATGTCGCAGAATCAATATCTACTCATAGCAACACTGTGTGACAAAGTAAAAACTATCTTATAAGGTTTTCTTGGTTGTAATGCTTATAGAAATACCCCACCGCTATTTCTATTACAGTGTCACTGAGTGGCTTTGAACTGTCAACCTTTAGGCTAGCAGCCATATGCATAACTGAACCAGCAGGGGGAGGATAAAAAGACCTATGTGGTAATGGATTTGAGTTTGAGGCATCAGTATGCACTCATGTTTAACTAAATACAGGTACAGATAGTTACATGGAGAAATACTAAGAGACACATGTATGTTTGTTATAGTTGCTGTGTGCCATTGAGTCGGTTCTGACTCACAGCAACCCTGTATGGGATTTCCAAGGCTGTAAATCTTCTGCAGAGTGGCTGGTGGA